TGAAAATTCAGCTTTATTGAAAGAGAACAACTGCACACTCACTTAAGCATAGGCTATTTATTATCCAACGTTTCGGCTAGTAGCCTTTGTCAAGGTCTTGCCCTTGACAAAGGCTACTAGCCGAAACGTTGGATAATAAATAGTCTATGCTTAAGTGAGTGTGCAGTTGTTCTCCTTCAATTAGGTTTAAATTTTTTCCTTCAACTTGCACCTCTACAGGTGTGCGTGCGCTTTGCCTCACTTGCTCTATTAAGAAACTTAAACTTTACCATCACAGGAATAAATTACATTTTAAAATGTATTCAAATAGAAAACATTTATTTTAAATTTTAATATATAATATATATACATAATATAATAATATTTCACAATATTGCTCTTTTTATTGGATTTAAAATAAATAATTTCAGCTTTAGTGAGCATAAGAAAAAACATCAACAACAACAGTCCCACACACCATCAATGCTTGCACATTCTGTATATCCAAAACTTAATCAACAACGTTTCAGTCCCATGACCTTCATCAGGTATAGAAAAAATATTCAGGCACATCCTCATTTAAAATCAACACATGACCAATCACTGCAATTATACATAATTACCAATCACAATCAGTGACGTTGGTTACCGAAGGTTACGTTTTTCCTTCTGGAGCATCAGTGAGCATTTGAACCTTTTGTAATAGTTGCGTATGAGTCCCTCAGTTACCCTCAGTGTGAAAAGATGGATCTCAAAATCATAGTCATTGTTGGAAAGGGTTCAAATATGCAAAAGATGCTGGAAAACCAAAATATACACACACACACAACAAAACAAAACAAAGAGACTCTATTATAATATGTCCTTGAAAAAATAAAGATTTCTTTAAAAGCATTTACAATTTTCTTTATAAAACAATCCTAAGGGAAAGAAAAGTTTCCCTAAAAGAAGAATTCCCCAAATACAATTTATGAACATTTCCACAGAAAAGCACTCTTGCAAACAGATGAAAAATTGAATGGTTTGTTGAAATGGCCTCTTAAATGTGTGATTCACCAGTGTGATTATTGCTCCTGGAGGCCTGTGAAAGAGTGCAGGCAGTCAGATGATTTGTCTAGCTCATTTATATTCACAGTCACAACTAATTATTACAGGAAAACACAGCTCAGTTTGACTAAAATGCTCCAACGATCATCACCTCCCTTCTTTAGCATTCAGAAAGCAAACATGCAAATAAGAAATGCTGTTTCCCTTCTGAGCGTGCAGGTAGTTTGTGATCTTTGACATCCGTGTTATTATTGTAATGAGTACGCTTCAACTCATGACTTGATTGATGATGATGTCAAAGCAAGTAAACACATTTAATGGTCTCAAAATGTTAAAGGAATAGTTGCCAAAAAAGAAAATTTATTGAAAATGTATTCACCCTCAGGTCACCCAAGATGTAATTGAGTTTGTTTCTTAAATGGGAACAGATTTGGAGAAATGTAGCATTACATCCCTTGCTCAGCAATGGATCCTCTGCAGTGAATGGGTGCCATCAGAATGAGAGTCCAAACAACTGATAAAAACGTCACAATAATCCACAAGTAATCCACACAACTCTATCAGTTAACGTCTTGTAAAGTGAAAAGCTGCATGATTGTAATAAACAAATCCATCGTTAAGGCATTTTAACTTTACAGTGTCACTTCAGGTTAAACTTTTGAATGGGGTCATTTTTATAAATTCAACTATTATTATTATTAATATTTAAAAAATTTTTTTTTTAAGAAACCTTCGGTAACCTGCGTCACTGATTGTGATTGGTAATGATGTATAATTGCAGTGATTGGTCATGTGTTGATTTTAAATGAGGATGTGCCTGAATCTTTTTTGCATACCTGATGAAGGTCATGGGACTGAAACGTTGTTGAAAAAGTTTTGGATATATGTGCAAGCACTGATAGTGTGTGGGACTGTTGGGGTGTTTTTTTTTGGGGGGGGACTTGGATTGGTCTGTTTTCCTACACACATATCTATTACCTGCAGGTGTATGAGGATAATTGTTAATTGACTGTATATATATAGATGATGATGTCAAAGCAAGTAAACACATTTAATGGTCTCAAAATGTTAAAGGAATAGTTGCCAAAAAAGAAAATTTATTGAAAATGTATTCACCCTCAGGTCACCCAAGATGTAATTGAGTTTGTTTCTTAAATGGGAACAGATTTGGAGAAATGTAGCATTACATCCCTTGCTCAGCAATGGATCCTCTGCAGTGAATGGGTGCCATCAGAATGAGAGTCCAAACAACTGATAAAAACGTCACAATAATCCACAAGTAATCCACACAACTCTATCAGTTAACGTCTTGTAAAGTGAAAAGCTGCATGATTGTAATAAACAAATCCATCGTTAAGGCATTTTAACTTTACAGTGTCACTTCAGGCCAAAACACCAGTGCATAATCCACAATAACACTTCTGCCAGTGAAAGTCCATCTTCTGTTTTCGGCTCACATCAAAATCCACTTATGTATTAGTTTAGAACTATTTTGGACTGTTTTTGCTTGTGAACGGAGCTTCATCTGTGCATATTTCTCCCCTGATTAGGACAAGATGACTTTTTCGCTGTAGAAAATATTATGGATAGAGGACTCATATTTTAGATGGAAGCAATGGTTAAAACCTTTAAGGTGGGGTGCGACAAAATACTATAGAACTCATTATAATCAGTGATGCTGTCTACACTGGATGTGGCGCGACACGACAAATCCCCGACAGAAAACTGCTGCTGCGTTCTATTCATGACGTATTGACACAAATTTCAAATGATTTTCAACGGTCGCTTTGTCGCGTCCAGTGTAGACAGACTTTAGCTGTTGCGGCGCAGACACAGTGTTACCTATCGAGAAGAAACAAAGCAACCTCGGCGTCCGATCGCAGGCCTTCCTGCTCCTTGAGTTCTCTCCAGCGCTGAAAAGCTGATCTTATATTTACACGGGTCCTACTTCTTGCCTTATTGTAAGCCTTCTTTTGTTCCGCAGATGGTTTCCTCTTTTGTATTTTATCCGCCATCTCTATCTTTCTCTCGCTCGGCTCGATAATGTCCGTCCTGTGCACTGAACGTTCTCTCCTCTGCATGAGTAGACACGCCCCTTACTGCTGATTGGCTACAAGTTTGTTTTGGTACTCGGCCCGACTCAGTTTTCTAAAGCGTTTTTGAAAAAATACATACCCCACCTTTAATGATGGATTTGATTGTTACAAGGCAACCATTCACTGCAGAGATCGATTGGTGAGCAAATGATAATGATACATTTCTCCAAATCTGTTCCCATGAAGAAACAAATTCATCTAAAACTTGGATGGCCATTTTCAACAAATGTTCATTTTTGGGTGAACTATTACTTTAATGTGCACACATTCGCAAAGCAAGAGCTAACAGGTTCCTCTTTGAGACCGAGTTTACCTGCGATTTGCTTGTTTGGTTTGAGTTGTACTCTGTATATTTCCTCTTCTGTGGTGCACAGATACAGGACAGGAATTTGGCATACTCCTCTCTCACCTGTCGGGAAGTTACAAAGACATTGATCACAGACAATAGCAAGTGCATTTTTATGATCATCAATTTATGATCATAACAAATATGTTTGTGAGAGTTTAGCGGCTTTTAGTCTATGTTTATGATCTTTGATGTCAACTGAATGCTAATATTCTCTGTTAGATCTTAGAACGAATAGCACAGAGACTGTCTTTATATATAAAAGACACATACGATAATCCAAAAATGATGCTAAGAGGACTTATAACAAAACATAATTCCATTGCATAATTCCATATAATGTCTGTAACCTGATGTTTGACTATTATGCTTTTATCCAAGGTTATTAATGGCATTATGAATAACTAGGCAATTGAATAGTTTATAGGTTTATATGTGCGTATAGTATGTCTCAAATGTTGATATAATTTCTTGGAAAAATGTATCATATTCTCATTATAGAAATCATGTCTAAATATACTCTGCAAGAGCAGGAAAATAAATATAAATACAATTATTAATTCCCTTTGAGCTAAAAAAGCTTAAAAGGTGACAAAATTATCCAGATACGCATTTAAAATTTACAGTCATTCTCTTCCCGGAAAACAGACCAAAAACATGTGACTCATTCTGCACTAAACAGATTTTTGTCCAATCAGATGCACTCTAGAATGAAAATGTGCCGCCCCCTTATATTAGCTGAAACTGACTAGCAAGTGGCAAATCAAATTCTATTGACTACTTTTTTATAGAGAAAAAAAATGTCATGGGGTCTTTACAATCAACATAACCTCAAAACTACTAATATAATAATAATTATTATATTCATTTTTCAATCATTTGATTCAATAATTTTTGAAAAATCAAAAGTATTTAAACCCAGTCACTTCTCACTAAAAACTTTGCTATTATAAATGAACTGTAATTCTTTCTAGTGTTCTTTTTTTAATGTTCTATTTATCATTCCCTGTCCTGTGTCAACATTTATTGTTTTATTATTACTCGTCCCAGGCTTAATATTTTGACAAAGCCATGAGTGATCTGTCATTACATATTTTTGCTAATCTCTGCATCTTTGTAATGAGAGGAATAGGACTCACTTGTTTTGAGAGCCAGCAGTGCATGAAGAACATCAGCACCCCCTGCAGGCTGCTCAGTATAGTGAAGACGTATGACATTGCCAGAGTGCCTTTATCAAACTGAAAACAGCCAAACACCCACATGATGCCAAGGATACACAGCTGAGCAATCGCAGTGACCATAAATGCCCTGTAGGTGGAGACAGAGATCGGAAAGCTAAAAAGGGCTGCTTATAGCACACTGTTACAAACATTAAAAGCATTAGAGCATATGAGACATCATTTAAAAACATTAATAAAATCACAATTATTACAAACTATGATCGGTAGTATATAAATATAGGCTTTAATAAAATTTCTCACTTGATTTTGCGTAGACTGTTTAAGTCTGGGTTAAGGGAGGAAAATTTTTCTGCCAGCTTCCATATTGTTATGAGGAAGAAGAATACATTAACCTGAAACAAACAGGCAAAACTTAAAGTTTAAACAATTTCTTTCATTCTTTCAATTTCTTTTAAGAGAATTTTGATTGTTGGTAATGTGGCACTTTCCAGTAATAGCATAAACATTGGTGTTTTAAAGGGTTAGTTCACCCAAAAATGAAAATTAGTCCATAAATTACTCACCCTCAAGTCATCCTATGTGTGTATGACTTTATTCTTTCAGACGAATCCAGTCGGAGTTATATTAAAAATTGTCTTTGATATTTCAAGCTGTTTAATGCCACTCAGCGGGTGTTGCATGCATCAGT